AAAAAAAAAATAAAATAAAAAATAAAAATAAAATTTAAATACATTTAAATAAATTTAAAAAAATAAAATAAAATAATCAACCTGGAGCCAGGCTGTCAAGGACCCAGCTGCCATGGAAGGGTTTCCTTTTCTACCTGGAAAAGAAAAAAAGAAAAGGAACCTTGAAAGCTAGGAAGGAAACTGAACCATAAGTAAGCCCAGTCCTAAGTTAAATATGACTATTATTTGATCTACAGCCCCTGCATCTCCATTTCAAGGGTACTGCTGCTGACTTCCTGGGGTGAGGCAGTGGGCAGGAAGTGAGAAGCATGGGGAAGAGCGCGTGAAGGGGGGAGAGCAGTTAATAACATCCAGAATTGGAACAAAGGGCAAACACAATTCTGAAGTTAGAGGGTACGTTCAGACTAGAGAATCCCCAGAGGAGAAAACCAATATAGGACCCACAACAGGTGAATGGGACCCTCTGGTCGATGCACAATTGCTCAAAGTTCTGGGCCATATATGGAATTAAAAGACATGAGACCCAATGGGACCAAAGACCCGCTTAAGCCTTGTCTAGAGAACTCAACCCAACTCCCTGCCCGCCATGCAGTGTCCCAATGAGGTGAGCAAGAAAGGACTAGAAAAAAGGTTGACGGATAACCAATGGGAAGCCCTACCAGGCTTCTGGGATGAGAGCTCCTGGGAGGGGGTGTCGGGACGATGCCGGGGTTCTTGTTCACAAAGCCAAAGAAGGAGCTTCACAAACACTCAAGGTAGGAGAGCAAGGTACAGGCTTTTATTTAGAGATAAAGTGAGAGGAAAGAGTATTAGAAAACAACATAAAACCTAAATGTGACTTACTCCCATCTGGAGGTTTAAAACATTTTTACAGTAAGGTATTAACAAAGGGCCACGTGGTGGAAGCTGCTCAGACTGAGAGTCAGGTGGGAATTCATAAGGGCCTGGCTATACCTGTTCGAGTTTTTTAAACCTACTAGTAAGATTAAGACAAATGTAAGGGAAAGATATAACTGGTTTAGGCGACGTCTGGGGAAGAATGTGAACCCTGTGGTACTCAGCCAGTGAGGAACCAGAGGAGGGACTCACACATTAGGAGATAAATTATTGGTGCCAAACTCCCCAGGTGTGCCTGCTCACCAGACACCCGATCTTGCAAGACCGTCATTAAAGCCTCACTCCACTGTTCTCTTTGTCTCCAAGTCCACTTATTGAATTTGGACTGTTAGGCTGGAGGAAGGAAAAACAAGGACATGCAAACAGAACAGAGAGACACCATAAAAGGACAACAGACCAGACCCCAAGGTCCGTGCCTTATATGGAAAGAGGACAGCTCTTCCTGAATTCCATCCTTATGATGTGCCAACTAAGACCTGGATGTCAGCCTCCTCCCTCTTGGAAGGAAAAAGTTTCTAGTTGTCTGTTATGTCACCTTTAGCCAATCATACTCTCCATGCCCCCTAGGATAGCTTGCCCACTCCTCCCCCTCATAACCCCTTGTAAGCCCCCACCTCCCTGACCGGGTGTGACTTCCCCAGCCTGTGTCTCAGACCGAGGAACATCACCCTGGAATTGCGCTCAAATAAACTGCCTGGCCCTTTATTGCCTGTCATCACCTGCTTATTTCGGCTAGAATTTATCTTACATGGACCAGTGAGTGTGTTTCTCACAAGAGCTCCTGGCTCACGCCAGGAGGGGACAAGAGACTCTGTGGTGGTGCATTGTCTAGGGGTTTTACAGGCAGTTGAGGATATTTGGGAACATGAAAAAAAGCTTAGGGGTGTGGACTTGTTAAGTGGTCCCTGAATATTCAAAATTAACTTAAGGAATTTCCTGCCTTGATTTCTCTCTGGGACACCAGCACCTTGGTCCCGGAGCACATCAAAAGGCTGTCTGCCCAGCCCCCAAGGTGGGCTGAGGTATTGTCTACTTGCTAAAGAATCCTGCCTCTTAAACTTCCTGGGTATTAAAATGCAACCTTATCTTGAAGATGACATTCTTCCTGCCTTTTGCTACACCGTCTACAGCTGGGTCTGCACGCTAAATTCGTTGCTCAGTTTGCAAAATCACCTACTCAGATCTGAAGGAGGAAAGACAGCACAGAGGCCTGGGCCTTTTAATGTGCTAAAGTGAATCTTACACATGATTACAAATGATTAGCATACTAAAACATGTGCTACTCTTCTTTATCTGGAGAACATTAACTGATCTCACTGAAGAATGACTCTAGAGCTTAATGTTCAACATAGAGTTTTAGTAGGGGGGTTTCCTTGCATGTAGTTGCCCTGACTGCAAATATCCTGCCTTGCTTTTCCGGAGGCCCTCACCCTACTCTGACTGCATCCACAGTCCCTGTCTCAGGGATGGCGGCTCCGTCCGCGCTCACGCTGAAACAGCTGCAGTGGGAGCAAAGGAGGCAGCTCAGCCCGCACATCTCCACCGGCCGCAGCCGCACGCGCTCACGCCCTGCACTGACAGGCCACCCCGCACCTCGGGCCCCACTCCGGCCCGCGCCCGCCCGGAGACGCCATCGCGGAAGCGGAAGGGCGGCCCCACCGCGCGTCCCGTGGCCCGCACCCGCTCTGGCCCCGCCCCCGGAGGCCGGCCCTCCGTGTCGTCGTCCCGGCAGGCCGCCGCGCCCGCCACCCTCACACCGCCCCACGCCGCCGCGAGAAGGGTCACCGCGTGGGCCAACTTCCCCCGGCCTGACCAGCCTGCGCCAGGAAGGGCAATAGTCACTGCCGGTCCAACCACCGCCCCTCCGTGGCCCCGGGGGGCTGCGCCCAGACACACAGGGGGAAGGGGGTGGCCGACCGGCAGGAGAGGAGCTCACAATAGAAGGACGGGCCAAAGCCCGAATCCTCACTGAGCCTACTTAGCCCGCCTACTACTGGAAACTCTTGCTCCTCCCCTGAGCTGCGCAGCCTCATTGGCCCCAGAGTGGGAGTGCATCCTGCGCTAGTCCGCACCCTTTGTCGCAGGGCACGCCTCCGCCTCTAGCACCACCGCTACACAGACACGCACTGAACCTGGCCTCGTGGTCTTCCATACCTCCACTAAATCATCACCCGATTTGTGTAGCTTCCTGGCTCCCACACCCCTCCTGCTCTGCTCTGCTCTTCTTTGCAGCACTTAATACAAACAACTGTAATTATATACCTCTTCAGACAATGACTTAATACCTTTTTTCCCTTCCTTAGACTATAAAACACCAAGACTAAAAACAGTGTGTATTTCATTCATGGTTGCTGCAAATTTTCTGGCAGTATGTGAATGGATAGATAGGGCTGTTCCAAGAAAGGAGGGAACGAAGGGATGACTGGGAGTGAATGAATGAGTAAAGGTGGTAAGTAATGTAGGATGCTACTGCCATCCATTAAAAATTGGGGGTACAAAATTCAGCACATTGGAGTTGGCACTCAGATTCTAAGGCTAGATTCTTTGTCTAGTCTTTGCCTAGATTCTAAGGCTGGGGAGAGTCGACGATACTGAGCACTTGCAGTCGCCCTGAGCGGCCGAGCTGCACAAGCTAAGGGGAGCTCACTCAGGAGGACATGTGGAAATTCAGTGCCTGTCTGAGGAGACAAAGTCCTGTTTGAAGGTCATTCATAAAGTTAAAGAGTAACTTGGGGTGGGGGGGAGGTTAGAGCTGGTTCAACTGAGTCTGAAACTTGCCTGTTGCAACAGTGGGCTACACTGCTGGACTAAAGCGTTGTAATCAGTGACCCAGCCTTCTCCCTCTTGGGCCTGCTGGCAGGGACCTGGCCTGACGCTGCACACAAAGCCCACAGAAAGCTCAGCTCACCTCCCCCAGGCTGAGGCCGCTGTCAGAGAGGATCGTCACTATGATCTGACCTAGACCTTAACATAAAATAAAGCAATTGGTGTGAAGTCCCCATCATCTCTGACATTTCAGAATTCCAAGATTCCCAATCTGCCTTTCTTGTTAGAGTAGTGGGCAAGCCAACTGGCCAGTGGTAAACCCCAGGCCCCTCAGTCTGAGCCTCTGATTGAAGGGTTGTCAGTCTAGGAGGCACGATGGGTCTTTTCAAGGAAAAGGAAAGGCTGAAATGTGAATCTCAGTATATGTTTAATTTGATGAATGAGCTAAAAAATTAATGAGTAAATGAAGGTGATGGTCCGTAAGTCAAGGATGGGGGTAGGGTCAAAGAAAGCTTTGTAGTGAAGATGCTGGGGCTGAGTCTGAAAAGGTTGGAGCAAAGCCAAAAGCTAGTAAGGGGGCTCTAACCATAGCAAGAGCCTTCCTTCTGGGCTTCCTCCCAGTCCTCCCTACTCCTCCCATTTGACAGGCTCTAGCAAGTGTTAAATCCAGGGGAACACTTTGCTCCCAGATACTGTCTTGCCAGGTTTACAGCCACAGGGCAAGGTCCAGGTGGACAGACCTTTCCACCCCCAACTTGACAGGGCTTCCCAAAAGCTCTCCAGCACCCAGAGGCAGTGTGTCCGAAGCCCAGTCTGGGTGACACAGCCATGGTGCTCTGGAGTCTGGTGCTAGGAGCCCTACTTGTGGCCACTGCAGGGTGCCTATGTCTGCTAGGGCTGCTCCGGCAGCACAGGCCCCAGGAGCCCCCTCTGGATAAGGGCTCTGTGCCCTGGCTCGGCCATGCCATGGCTTTCCGGAAGAATATGTTTGAATTTCTGAAGTGCATGAGGGCCAAGCATGGGGACGTGTTCACAGTGCAGCTAGGGGGCCAGTACTTCACCTTTGTCATGGACCCCCTCTCCTTTGGCCCCATTCTTAAGGATGTGCAAAGAAAACTTGACTTTGTGAAGTATGCAGAAAAACTGGTGCTAAAGGTGTTTGGATATGGCTCGATACAGGGAGACTACCGGATGATCCACTCAGCCAGCACCAAGTACCTCATGGGGAATGGCTTGGAGGAACTCAACAGAGTCATGCTGGAGAGCCTGTCCTTGGTTATACTGGGGCCCATGGGCCACAGTCCAGATGCCAGTTGCTGGCGTGAGGATGGCCTCTTTCACTTCTGCTACAAGATCTTGTTCAAGGCCGGCTACCTGAGCTTGTTTGGCTACATGAAGGACAAGGAGCAGGGCCTGCTACATGCAGAGGAGTTATTCATGCAGTTTCGTAAGTTTGACCGCCTATTTCCCAGGTTTGTTTACTCCCTGCTGTGGCCCCAGGAGTGGCTAGAAATCCGCAGGCTCCAGCGTCTCTTCCACAGGATGCTCTCTGTGGAACACAACTTGGAGAAGGACAGCATAAGCAGCTGGATGTCCCATATGCTGCAGTTCCTGAGGGAGCATGGTGTGGCCCTTGACATGCAAGACAAGTTCAACTTCATGATGCTCTGGGCCTCCCAGGGGAACACGGGGCCTACCTGTTTCTGGGCCCTCATGTTCCTCCTGAAGCACCCAGAAGCCATGCAGGCTGTGAGGAAGGAGGCCACCCAAGTCCTGGGGAAGGCCAGGCTGAAGACCGGGCAGTCCTTTGACTTAGAGGTCAGTGCCCTGCACCACACCCCAGTGCTGGACAGCGTGGTGGAGGAGACTCTGCGGCTGGGGGCTGCGCCCACCTTGCTCCGGGTGGTGCATGGGGACCATACCCTGCAGATGGCCAGCGGGCAGGAGTACCTGCTCCGCAGTGGCGATATCGTGGCCCTCTTCCCTTACCTCTCAGTGCACCTGGACCCTGACATCCACCCCGAGCCCACTGCCTTCAAGTATGATCGTTTCCTCAATCCCAACGGCAGCCGAAAAGTGGACTTCTACAAGGCGGGCAAGAAAGTCCACCACTATACCATGCCGTGGGGTTCTGGTGTCTCCATCTGCCCTGGGAGGTTCTTGGCCATCAGCGAGGTGAAGCTCTTTGTCCTGCTCATGGTCACATACTTTGACCTGGAGCTGGTGGACCCTGACACGCCTGTGCCTCCCGTGGACCCCCAGCGCTGGGGCTTTGGCACCACGCAGCCCGGTCACGAGGTGCTCTTCCGCTACCGCCTGAAGCCTGCCGAGTGAGCTCTGCCGGCACAGCTGCACGGCTGCCCCTTGAGGGTCTCTGCCTCCTCATACCCCCTGACGCTGCCACTCCCCACTGACGCCCTCCCCTGGCTCTGGTGGCGCCCCCTGCCCCTGTCCTAGTCTCCCTTCTTGCTCTCCGGCCTCCTTCTAGTCACCTCACAGGCTTCTCGTTCTCTCTCTAAAACACCCCCAGCGGGCTCTGCAGAACCCACCTGTCAGAGGAAGTCCAGGGGGAGGGGGCTCCCTGGGGGCAGCTCAGTTTGGGAGAAGTGCCTCGGCAAGCCCTGCGGTACAGGAACTGGCTGCCATGAGTAATGCAGCCTCTTGCAGCTGTTAGCCCCACCCTCCCACCCTGCTTAATTTTTTTCCTCAGCACTTACTCCACATCCTGTGGAATTCAGGTTCTGGAAAAGTATAGTCCAATAGCAATATGAGGCAGGCCGCATGTGTCATTTTTCATTTCTTAGTTGACACATTTTTAGGAAGGTAAAAGAAACAGGTAAAATTTATTTTTATAATATATTTTACTTAACTGAATCTATCCAAAGTATTAGCATTTCAACATGTAACCAACGTAAAATATATTAATGACATATTTTTACATTTCTTTTTTCATGTTGTCTTCAAAATCTGGTACATGCTTTTCACCCTGGCAGCGTGTCTCAGCTCAGACTAGCCACATTCTAAGTGCTCAGAAGCCACCTCTCAGCCTCTCCCTTGGTTCCCACGACTTGCTGAGCTCAGAGCTCTCTTCTACTTCCAGAACCCCCATGTCCCCAAAGGGGTCTCACAGCACCTATGACTTACTTGGCCTACGCGGAACTCAACATCTGTCCTCCCGCCCCTGCCCTGAGCTACCCTTTCTAAGCAGAGGTCTCCCTGCCTCTCTCTGCCTAGGACTCCACTGCCCACTCCAGCATCCCTTTCAGCCACAGACAAGCAGGCCCCAGTCTGTCAGCCTGACCCTCTGTGGTGCCTCTGAACCATTTCCTCTCTTCCCCACCCCTGTTGCCATTCTTATAGCTCAGAACTTGACATTTCTCTCCATCCTGAGACACCCCTCTGTCTACCCTGCTGCTAGAGAGACCTTTTTCCAAAAGTGCCTCTGGTTGTCACTTTTACTCTTGATTCCACATAGATCTGGTCTCCAAATTTTCAATCCAGTGCAATCTGATGTTGCCAGCTTTCTCCAATCGAACTCTCTATAAAGGATGCTTGTGAATATAATAAGCACAATGTTGCTCATGTGAAACCTTCATAAGATTGTGTATCAATGATATCGTAATAAAAAAAGCATGCTTTCTTGCTTTTACTGCCAACCCCGTTACCAGCTACTCCTGGAAGCCTTTTTGGACTCCCCCCATTCCATCTGGCCAGACATCATCTTGACCTCCTGGGGCTCCCCTAGCACTGTGTGCATCACACCACACCTGTTGTATCTTTGCTTTCTGGGTCCTGGTTTCCTCCATGTGCTCCCTGCCCTAAGAAATGACTTTGTATCTTATTCTTTCATCTCTGACCCCCAGTTCCCTAAATGTAGATTAAATTATAAAAACCAGTTTCAGCTAATGTACTTCATGTCCTCAAATCATTTCCTTACCCTCCCAGGCCTCACCCAGCTTTCTGGCATATGAAATGGAGATGGTCCTCATTGCCAGGCATGCTTACCAGGGCTGGTATGGAGGGGGCTGCTGCCAGAGTGGTAGCTGGCTGATGGTAGGGCCCTGGCTGGGGCTGGAACAGGAGGGGAGTGACTGTGGGTGCTGGCGTAGGGTCCTGGAGAAGGGAGGCCAGGCAGTATGGCGGCCCTGCCGGGCCCACCCAGCAGGGCTTCTCTCTGCTGCTCCACCCACATCTCTAACTGGCCTCTTCCTTTCTCTTGAGGCTGCCTGTTCTGCCATGAGTTTTGCTAAGATACTAGGCTGGGGCAGATTCAGGCAGGGGCCAGGGCTGGGGCAGAAGTCCATTCCCACTAGCTACGCAGCTCTGGGCTACAGCCTGCCTTCCTCTGGGTCTAGCTGCTGCAAAATGAGACATCTGCCCGGAGCTTGATAGAGCCCTGACTGGCCAGGAGAAACTGGATATCCCGTCCTACTCCACCAGATGCCAGAACACAGAGAAGAGTTACATGAGAGGCACAGGAGAGGGAGAAGGGGCCTGGGAGGCGAGGAGCCATCGTGGGGAGTTCAGCAACAACCTCTGCGCACAGGCAGGCCTGTGCCCAGGCAGGTGTGGCAATGGGGTGAAGATGCAGGCCTTTACACACTCCTTGGCCTTGCCCGGCCCTGAGTTCTGCATGCCCTCCTTTTCCCCACTCCCAAAGAATGAGGAGTCTGGCCTGTGGATATGGTGGAGCAGGGACAAGGGCCCAAGTCCACTGGGTCAGGACCAAGGGGTCTAATTCAGCATGACCACATGCAGCCCTCCCAGGAACTTCATGGATCCAGTGATCTGCTGGAGGGCATGCCTGGGACTGAGGGGGCCTCAGTGGGTCAGGGGTGAGGTGAATGCAGGTGTTGCCATCCTATAGTCGGGGACGTCTGCCAGGACAGCAGGCCTCGGGAAGCAGCAAGCACCCAGGATTAGAGTGTGGACACAGAGGCCAGTGCCCACCTGCTGGCAGGGGATGGCCCCATGGTACCTGTACTTCTAAGTCCCCTACATGGGGACTGCTGGAGACATCCTTTACAAGATCTACCCTTCCTTCCCTGGCAGAGGCCTTGAGGCCTTAGGAAGACCAAGAACTCCAAGATTGCATATAGTCACCTATCTGTCCTGACCCAACAGTTCCATACTCTCATTTTTGCACCAAATCTCTAGTTTCTACACCAAATTCTTTCTCTATCAGAGAAAATCCCATCTTGTATGTTCTTTCTTATAAGCTACAAGGATAGCTTACAACAAAGCAATATCAGGGATGACCCACCATTGGTGGGAATGCAGGCACCTGGGAAAGAAAAGACATTTCCTCCATAGGCAGTAACTGCTGTGAAGGCTCACACCACACTTCACCAGGTGGAGGGGGCAGCCCTGCTCTCAGGCAGAGCCATGCCTGCCCCTCTCCCTGGCTCAGCAGAGGAAAGGGTCCACCTTGCCTCAGAGCCTGAGGGCCTGGAGAATCCTGGGGGCTTTCCCAAGATGCCTGGAAGAGCTTTGAGCAGGGAAGAGAGGGAGCCAGGCCTTGGGGCAGATGGACAGCAGCAGGACGGACCGAGGGCCAGGCTGGGCAGTGAGGTCAGGGTGGAAAGGGCTAGTCCCGGCCCAGGCTGTGAGAGACCACATCCAGCTCACTTCCTGACCAGTGCCAGCATGCCTCACAAACTGCCCTTCAGCCAGAGTCCTCACTGTGGTCAGCTACAGGATATGGCAACCAGGACAATGAAAAACCAGTGGGTCACTTGCAGCCATCCCTCCTTTCGTTAGGGCACAGGCTTCATAGCACTTCCTGTATACCTGTTCTTTGCAAAGAGCACACTTCCACACATCCACAGCAGAAGAAAGACATACAGGAAAACAGAAAACCCATGAGCACATGTAACGGAGTGCAGAGAGCATCAAGAGTCAGGAAAAAGAACTAATGACACTTAACCTGACTGCCTAGAGCGAGAGCCACCCAGTCTTTTCTTGTGTAAATTGCCCGAGGCTTCTGAGAAATGCGCCTACCCTAAGTTAGATAACTAGAAGTGAGCAACAGCCTGGGAACGCCTAGGGATGTAACCCATGATAAGTCACATAGACATGCTTGGGTAAGCAAGAGATAACAATTGAAGCGGGCAGGCAACTGGCGCGTTCCCTAAAAAGGTTACAATGTTTCCCATTGGTTACAATATAGAGTGTGTTTTAAACCTATTAGTTGTAGAACTGCGCAGGCTTTAGTGTAACTGCTGTGAAGATCCTATATAATCAGTACCCAAAGTTGCTTCAGAGTCGGCAGCTCGGACTCGGCCTGCGTGTCAGGGGAGGTGCTGTCGACTCCAGCTTGCTGGCTGAATAAAGACTTTGCTTAGATTTTCATCTCCGTGTCTGTGTGTCTTGTTCTCTAGGAAACCCCAGAGTCCTAGACCCTAACACACATACTCACATATTTGCACACAGTGTCACATTGTGAGATCCACATAGACAACATGTATACTATGCACAACCCACACCACAACACAGATTCACACAGATGTCACACACACACACATATACAGTCTGCTAATGCTGGTGACAAGCCCTTGCTGGGTGTCCCTTGCCTGGCATACTTTGCCCCATTCCATCTGTGCAGCATGGGTATGAAGTCAGGGAGCCTGTTGGTGCAGCTCAGGATGTCTCACTTGTCAGGCTGCCACCTGGGCATGACTGAGGTCTTTTATGGACAAGACTTCAGGACCTCTAAAATAGAATCCTACCCCCATGTCCTCAAACAAATCTCCACTTTCAGATGCAAAGCTTCATTTCCCAGGGGGCCAGTGAAGCTCAGAGTCCCTCCTGATGAGGGAATCTGGGGCCTTGTGTAGAGAAAACTAAAGGCCACAGAGCTGAGAGAGAATGGGGGCTCAGGAAGACACAGAATGAAAGACCAACGATGTCAACTCAGACAGCATCTGGGGACAACCCTGCTTACGATGTGTGTGCTGTGATGAGGCTGGCTAAAGCTTGGGAAGAGAAGAAAGAGTGGGCAGAATACTGACCACCTGCTCAATTCTCCATCCATCCAGTCATTCACTGTGAGAAGTACTTTGTGAGCACCTATTATCTTGTGAACCCTGGCTGAAGCACCCTCCAGTCATGTGTGGTGCTGCCCTCTGTTCCATCCACCTTGAGGTGTCCTTCTGCACACTACTGTCTGCTAGGCTCTGTGCTGGCTTCAGCAAAACAGACCTGGCAGGATGAGGGCAGGTCATGGGACATGGTTCTGGGAGGTGGGGAAGAGCAGAGAGTGCTTAGAAGCTCAGGAAAGAGAGACGTCACTGTGGACCAGCAGCTCCCTGGGGAAGGTTTCTCAGTGGACAGGTCAGCGGGCAGGGGGATGCCGGTACCTGAGACACCCAGGCAGGGCACATCAGGCCGTAACCCTCAGCCCGCAAGTAACAAAACACCACCACCCCAAGCTGCAAATGAATTTATTGTTAAGTCCAGTACTGGGATGAGCTTCAGCCATGCTCTGGCTCTGAGGATGAACACACTACCCCAAGGACCTGCTCTTTCACTGAGCCATCACCTCGTCTTCTGAAGTTGAGTTGTGAAGGCGCAGCTCCAAACCTCACACCTTCAGCTTCCATTTCTTGCCCTCTCAGCTTCATTTTCTTGCCCCTGTTTCAGCAATGTATCCTAGTAACATTGCATTTCACAAGCCCTGCCTGGGTCATGTGCCCATCCCTGAATGAATCACTGGGCCAGGGAAACATAAGGCTGTAATTGGCACAAGTCCCATGCTTTCCCCAACCTCTATGTAAAACGCAGGGCAGGAGTGGTTTCCCAGAGCAAATAGTATTCAG